ACACTAGAGAGAATGGAGAAAACCTGAAAGATGTCTTCGACATACTCAAGACACTCAAACTGATGGTGGAACAAGAAAATACTGAAGAAGTATTCGTCAGCCTGCCACCAAAAGTCAAGGGAACAACGATGAGGAAGATGGCAGAAGCTGTCTTCTTCAATACTAATGTTAAAATCAGGATAGCTGATACAGACCCACCGGAACCGAAGAATCGAGCTAACAGGAGTAGAGATGATGCGATAATCATAGGCGTCGGCACTGGCTCATATGCCGACACCCTTAAAACCCTGAAAGAAAACATAAAAGACGAACAGATTCTGAAACAAATAAGCAGGGCAAGGAAAACGGCGAAAGGTGACCTGTTGCTGACTGTCAAAGAGACTGGCCAGACAGTCAAAGAGAAAATAGAGGAAATCCTACACGGCGGACAAACTGTGAGAAGACTGAGAGGACAAATCCAAAAAACACTACATGTGAGAGACATAGACTGCATAACAGGGATAGAAGACGTGAAGAAGGCAATATTGAAGACTACGCAAACAGCACAACCAGATGGAGTAGAAGTAAAATCCATAAGGCCAAACAGAAACGGCAATCAAGTTGCGACTGTATTGATGACCGAGGCAGACGCAGGTAAATTATTGAAAGAGGGCAGAGTGAGAATAGGATTCAATATGTGCCGAGTGGAGGAACGATTGGAACTGGAAAGGTGCTATAAATGCTGGGGCTTTGGCCACAAAGCATGGCAGTGCACAGAGGAAGACAGGACCAACCAGTGCCAAAAATGCACAAAAACTGACCACAAAACAGCTGACTGCAAAAACGACGCATACTGCCCCTTATGCAAAGCAAACGACCACTATGCTGGAGCAGGAAACTGCAAGATGTTTAGAAACGCCCTAGCAGATGCCAGAAGAAGACAACAGCACTAATGGCTAAGACAACCCAGAATACGAACACGAATATAGGAAACACGACAACTAATAACAAAATTGGACGCACTAGCGGAAACAAGAACAAGACAGATACGGAAATCAAATTTCTACAAATAAACCTCAATAGATGCGCTGCAGCGCACGATCTGCTCAACCAGAAGGCAAATGAGGAGGAGGTCGACATTATATTGGGGCAGGAGCCAAACCTGAATAGAGCAAAGAATCTAATATGCGACACAAACTACGACTGCTTCATTGAAGCGAAAAAGCGGCCAATCATCAACTCTCACAGCGGAATTGGATATGCAGCGGGGGAACTAGAGGACATGGTTGTCATATCCTGCTACTTCTCCCCGAATGGGCAACGAGAAGATTTTGAAAACCTCCTAAACAGCATAGAGATATGCCTTAGCAGCACAAAGAAGGAAGTAGTGATGGGAGGAGACCTAAATGCTAAGACCCCTGCCCTGGGATCCGCAACAACAAATGCAAGAGGCATAATACTGGAAGACTGGCTAGCTGGAAAGGAAATGATAATCCTAAACACTGGGCAGACCCCCACATTTAGCAGAGCAAATGGGTCGTCGATAATCGACTTCACAATTGCCACACCAAAGATTAGCAGGAGAATATCAAACTGGAGAGTGGAAAGCGAAGTGGAAAGCCTAAGCGACCACTGCTATATCTGTTTCGAGGCAGAGGAATGCAAAAAAACGACCCCGGAATATAGTTGCTCGAAAGGATGGAAAATCACCAAAACCGCATGGGAGACCTTTGCCAAAGGTCGGGTGACAATGGATATAGAAGCCGAAAGGCAAACACCAGATATACTCATGAGCAGTATCAACAATATATGCGATAAATTCTTCCCCAGGAAAAAAACAACAGCCCAAACACAGACCAGTTCACTGGTGGTGTGCTGAAATCGCAGAAAAACGCAGAAACTGCAATAAATGTAGAAGAGTCTGGAAGAGGGCCAGAGGATCAACAGTGGCCACAGAAGAGGAAAAGGAAACAAAACTGGTAATATATAGAGAGTCCAAACGAGAACTGAAGCGGAAAATTGGACGGAAAAAACAGGAAGCGTGGAAGAAGCTACTACAGGAACTCGAGGGGGACATCTGGGGAAAGGCCTATAAAATAGTCATGGAGAGGCTCATACTAAGGCCGAGAATACAACTAACAGAAGAAGAAACAGAACTACAAATCAACAAACTGTTTCCAACGCATTCCACCCAGGTATGGCGCCCCATAAACAACCGAGATGGGGATGTCAAACTCTTCGACCTGGAAGACATAAAGGAAGCGGCGGCGAGAATCAAACCAAACAAGGCTCCGGGGCCTGATAATATCCCCAAGTGGTGAAGAAACTGATTGGAGATAACCCAGAAACCATAAGGGACATAATGAACGAATGCCTAAAAACTGGGAAATTTCCAGAAAGATGGAAAACGGCCAAGCTGGTGCTGATCGAGAAGGCAAAGAAGGACCCAACGCAAACAAAAACATACAGACCTCTCTGCCTACTAGACGTTATGGGGAAATTCCTGGAAAGCCTAATCAGGATACAACTAAACAAGGAACTAGAAAAAAAAAACATATTAAGCGACAATCAATATGGGTTCAGAAAGGGGCGTAGTACCGTAAGCGCCATCAAAAAAGTAATGAGCATACCGGAAGAGATTGCGAAGAAGGCCCATAAGAACCGTGAGTTCTGTGCCATGGTCACATTAGACATACAAAACGCGTTTAACTCGGCCCCCTGGAAAGGAATTATCAAGGCATTGGAGAAATACAAGATCAGCGAATACATAATCAAAATACTACAGTCATATCTTAGCACAAGGAGAATAACAACAGAACACGGGAAAACGTACAGAACAACCTCAGGAGTACCACAGGGCTCAGTGCTGGGACCAACCCTCTGGAATATATTCTATAATGAAATACTAGAAACTAGAACGGGAGAAAACGTATCCTTGGTGGCGTACGCTGATGACCTTGCCAGCATAAGCAGAGCCAAGACCGCACTACAGCTGGAGGACAAAACTGGACGCGCAGTCAAGTATGTAACGAGGAAATTGAACGAAATGGGAGTCCCGATCGCGATACAAAAAACTGAATTGGTCCTCTTATCGGGTAGGAGGAAAGTACCTAGAATACAGATCCAGATGAGAGAAGTGCAAATTAACAGCCAAAGCGTAATAAAATATCTCGGAGTTCACCTAGACAAGGACATACGCATGACTGCGCACATAAAGAAAGTATGCGAAAAAGCCAACTTAACCCTTAACAGACTAAGCCGACTCATGCCAAACCTCGATGGGCCCAGCGCAACAAAGCGAAGAGTGCTGACAACGGCAATACTCTCGCTAATATATGCCGCACCTGCATGGAAAGACGGGACGAAATATAAACATTACCAAAAGACACTGGAGAGGGTAAACCGCAGGATGGCCCTAGGCATAATAAGAGCATACCGAACCGTTTCTAGCGACGCCGCACAAGCTCTAGCAGGTATGATACCATTGGACCTGCTAATATTAGAAAAAGCAGCCATATATGAAAAAGGAACAGCTTACGCAGAGCAAGCAAGAAACCGGACATACCGAGAATGGCAGGAAAGGTGGGACAAATACCAGGGATGGGCAAAGACCTTCATCACGAGTGTGAGGGACTGGCAAGAGAGGAAGTGGGGAGAACTGGATTTCCATACTACGCAGGCGATGAGCGGACACGGGGTATTTGCCTCGTACCTATGCAAAATCAAGAAGAAACAGGACGAGCGATGCTGGTTCTGCGATGAGGAAAGGGACAATCCGGAACACACCATCTTCAATTGCCTGAGATTCACACGGGAAAGACACAAGGCCGAAACTGAGACTGGACAACAAATATCAAAGGAAAACATAGCAGAAATGCTACTGAGCACGAGGAGGAACTGGGACATAATCACCAAAATGCTGAGAGACATTATGATAGTGAAGATGGAGGAGGAAAAGAGAAGGGAGGCAGCCCGGCTACAATGAGAAGCCAGCGAGAGCACATAGAGAGGCTGAAGGAAAGAAAGTGACCAAGGAGAAACCAACATAGATAACAACCGCAACCCCCCCTGAAGTAATACTGTAAGGTGGTCCCAGGGGGGCACTCATGCGAAGAGTAGGGGAAGGGTTTTAGTGGGTGCAAGTCCCACACTCCCTAGGTCGCCCGAACACCAATGACCTAGGCGTGCATAATGCATTTCCAATCCCTACTATAAAAAAAAAAAAGGGTTAGTTTGGGTTCCCCTCCGAGGAGCTATGAGACCTTGACGTTGGTGGAGGGGCACAACGGCTGACTGTATATTTGACTGGTCAGCCGTTGCTAAGGATAGCTCAACCTCAGGGACTCACACCTTGTGAGAACGGGAAGTGGCATTCCCGAGGCACCCTAGCTGGACTCTGACCTTTCTTCAACTTGTCTTGGGTCAGGTCCCTCTCTTTTCTCTTCCCTATCCGATCTCTCTTGATCAAACTCTTCTTTTTCCGCTCCCGACGCTATTAGAGCATTCGAGGGCTAGGGAGCTCTCTTTTCAAATCTATCTCTTCAATCTTCAGGGAAGGACACCCATCAAAACCAAAGAAGCAGATGAGAATGTCGAATAGTGAAAAAAAGATACCCCAGGAGGGTACGACGGAAAGTCGGGAATCCCTCCCTGCAGTGGAAACTGCAGGCTGCCTCTCGGATTCTGGGGGGGGCAACAATTCGATAGCCACATCGGCAAATGCAGACGCACCTCTGGTAGGGAACCAGGCCGGGGTACGGACACCAACGACTGGAACCAACTATTCTGGGTTTGAGCAATACGCATCAGCCAGAAAAAACAAGATTGTAAGGACACCACCAAGAAGGGCGTCGGTACCAGACCTGGAAATGGAGCATATGGAGGTCACAGAAGAGAAGGACAAGAAACGGAAAAGAATGGATACCGCGTTCATCGACTTATCCCATGGTATAGAAATAATAAAACCCAAAAAGAGCACAGAAGCAAAACAGATAAAAGACCTGATAATTAACTACTCAAAGATGGTGACGGAAATGGAGAAACATAAGGAGCAAAACACGAAAAGACAAATTAAGGACATAATCATAAAAATGAGAGCACAACTTACCAGGATGGAGGAAAAAAATCTGATAGAATGGCTGGAAAACCAAAACGAAGAACCAATAAGCTCGGTAAAAGAACAAAACATTATAAAAGACAACCAGAAGTGCCCTAGCTGCCAAAGAAAAGTGGCACAAGCTCTCACGGAGCTGGGCGAGTGCGACAATTTTGCGACCTGGACGAAAAAAAGCGAGAAAACATGGGAGGAAAACATATTTACGAACACTGAAATAGTAGTTGGAAATCCTTTAGCTACAAAGGACGAGATCGTAAAGGTGGTACTGGTAGGGACAAGTGAAGCAAACATGGACAGAGGGGTACAGAAAATCTACAGGGATAGGTATCCAGAACTGGAACATATAAAAGAGGATTTCGGCATGCTAGAACAAGATTTCCGAATCAGAACCAAAACGACGAATACAACAAAAACAAGAAAAATAATAAAACTAACTCACAACGAAACAGAAGAAGATTTGTATAATAAAATATCCGACCTAAAAACAGAATTGGTGACGGAAGAAGGGGTGATCCTCCATAAAGTAGAATGTGTGCAACAAACCCGATTCCGGAAAATGGTAGAGGCCATCTTCCACGGAACATCAACAACGGCATACATCTACACAAATAAAAAAGTAGATACTGCCAGTGAGAAACCGCGAAGACAAGGGAGAGACTCATATGCATTGGTAGTAGAAAATGCGGGGAAAACTTTTAGTGAGAGCCTGACAGAAATTAAGGCTATACTAAAGACAAATAATGCGGAAAAAGGAATTAGAGGAATTAGAAGCACCAGGGAAGGAAAACTTCTTATCACAACAGAGAAGGATAAACAAACGGTGAGCAAGATATACAAGGCCTTGGAAACCATGGATAATAATGGCAACAACAAAATCAGGAAGCTAGGGGGGGAACTAAACAGAGAAACCATACATATAAGAGGTCTAGATGCCGTAACAGAAAAAAGGGAAGTGGAGGAAGCCCTAAGGACAATTATTCCAGAACTGGATAACCTAGATTACAAACTTGGAGACCTGAGACCAATGTCTAACGATCGGCAGGCAGTAACACTGAACATCAATAAAGAGGAAGCGAAAAAACTGCTACAGGAGAGGACAATCAGAATTGGCTTCGTAAGGTGCCACATGGAAGCTAGAGTGAGACTACAAAGATGTTACCGATGCTGGGGACACGGACACGGACACTGGGAAAACGAATGCACAGGTCAAACTGTGCTTCAAGTGCGGAGAAGCAGGGCATAAGCTAAGGGAATGCAAAGGAGCTGAGAAATGCCCTCTCTGCAACGAGGAAGGGCACAAAGCCGGAACGGGCAAGTGCAAAATCTACAGGAGGACACTATCCATAGCACGCAGAACACCAAACAATGGGGGACAATAAAAATAGCAACCGTGACACCAGTATAACAACAACGAAGATACAAGTTCTACAAATCAACATGAATAGATGCCGAGCAGCTCACGACCTCTTATACAAGACAGTTGAGGAGGAGGAAATAGACATTGTAATTGGACAGGAACCTAATGTGACTTTGGCTACAGGAGAATATCTGGATCAGGAGTCGGACAGCTTCATAAAAACCGGAAAAAATATCACAGTGATCAGAAGCTACAGAGGTAAGGGCTTTGTATGCGTAGAGCTTGAGGAATACATAGTAATGTCGTGCTATTTTTCCCCGAACGGTCTGATGGAAGATTTCGAGGAACTGATAAACTCCATGGACACACACGTGAGAACCAGCAAAAAAGAAGTCATAATAGGGGGGGACCTAAACGCCAAATCGTCTATTTTTGGATCCAGAAATAACAACCCAAGGGGAAACATCCTGGAAGACTGGATTGCAGCGGCGGGGCTGGTTGTACTTAACGTGGGCAATGCGCCTACATTCGTGGGCACAGCAGGATGCTCTTTAATAGACTTCACAGTAGCCAGCCCAGGAATCAGCAAGAGAATACAAAACTGGAGAGTGGAAGAGGAACAAGAAAATCTCAGCGACCATCAGAGCATAACCTTCCAGATACAAATGTCACAACGCGATAAAAGAAGCTCACCCAAAACCTATAGGGGATGGAAAACCAACGCAAAAACACTTGAGAAGTTTACCCAGGAAGCCAGCATTATGATCCGAAACAAAGATAGCGTGGACCCTAACAGCCTGACAGAAGACATCAGCAGAGCATGTGATAAGCACTTTGCTAAGCCAAAGGGAAATAGGGACAAGTACCCTCCAGCATACTGGTGGAACAACGAAATTGCTGAAAAGAGGAAAGCCAGCATAAAGATAAAGAGACAACTCACCAGACTAAGACTACGAGACCCAGAAAGCCGACTAATTGAAATACTTAACAAACAATACAAGGAAGCCAGACAAAAACTGAAGTACGAAATAAAAAATAGCAAAAAGAAAAAATGGGAAGAGCTATGTGCGGAACTGGAAGATAACATATGGGGAAAAGCGTATCAAATAGTCACCAAGAAGCTCAACCTAAGACCGGGAAATAAAATTGACTCGGATACAGTAGCTGAACAAATTGAAAAACTCTTCCCTAAAAGACCTAAAATAACATGGAACAGAATCAACATAGATAGAAACGAGGTACAGAAGTTTACAACCGAAGAACTAAAAGCAGCCATGAAACAGATAAAACCAAAAAAATCCCCGGGGCCAGACAACATAACCCCCGAGATACTAATCGCTAGTGCACGGGGGTGCACAGACACCTTTCTAAACGTGTACAACGAGTGCCTGGCTAGTGGAGTCTTTCCAGAAATATGGAAGAGCGCAAGGCTGGCTCTGATCGAAAAACCACGAAAACAACCGACAGACCAAAGAAGCTTCAGACCCCTATGTCTGATTAACACGGCAGGAAAACTTTTGGAAATACTACTGCGAAACAGACTCCAAGAAGAGACCAGAACCAAGGGCATGATAAGACCGAATCAGTACGGATTCACCAAGGGAAAATCAACGGTCGACGCTCTGGCAAGGGTTAAACAAATTAAGGAAGACATAGACAGCAAGGCAGTGAAAAATAGGGATTTCTGTGTGATGATCCTGCTGGACATACAAAACGCGTTCAACTCTGCGCCGTGGCAGGGCATCATGGACGCTCTAGTAAAGGGAGGAGTAAGCCAGTACCTCATAGCGATACTAAGCTCATACTTGGAGGCAAGGAAGATAATTGCACCGAACGGCCAAATATATGACGTAACATGCGGCGTACCACAGGGATCTATCTTGGGACCGCTGCTGTGGATCGTGTTTTACGACGAAATACTACGTGTGAAAACAGAGAGAGGAGTCGAACTGGTGGCATACGCCGACGACCTGGCCGTAGTCGTGAGGGCAAAATCAAAGGGGGAACTAGAGGACAAGGCTCAAAATGCGGTCACACGTGTTATAGCCAAACTAAACCAGATGAAGATCTTAGTAGCCCCAAAGAAGACAGAGATGGTGATACTCGCAGGAAGAAGAACCATATTGGACATAGAGATTGTCGCGGCGGACACCAGAATCCAAAGCCAGAGCGTAGTCAGGTACCTGAGTGCACCTGGACAGAGATCTGAGGATGACGGCTCATATCCAGAAGATAGCAGAAAAAGCCCACAAGATGACGAACCTCCTAAACAGGGTTATGCCCAAGATAGGAGGGCCAAAAAGCAGCAAAAGAAAGATCATGGCCAGCGCGGTGAGCTCTGCAGTCCTATATGCCGCTCCGATATGGGAAGAAGCCCTGAAATACGAGAAATATAGGAACATACTCGAGAGAGTGAACCGACGGATCGCTATAGGAATCACCTCAGCGTATAGAACCGTCGCGACGAGGGCGGTAACGGCAATCGCTCGAATGCCTCCGATCGATCTGGCAGTAAAGGAAAGGACCAGAATATACCGGGAGGGAAGAGAGATTAGGAATGAGGCAAGGGAAACGGTGCTGAACGAATGGCAGGCAAGATGGCAAATATATGATGGATGGGCCAAATGGTTCATAAAGGATCTGCGGACCTGGACCAAAAAAAGTTGGATTGAAGTGGACTACTACATCACCCAGGCAATAACGGGCCACGGTGTATTTGGTACCTACCTGAAAAAAATTAAGAAACAAGTGACTGACGACTTTGTTGCTGGTTCTGCTGCGGGCAGGACACCCCTGAACCCACCATCTTCAGATGCCAAAAGTTTGGAAGCATAAGAGCAGAAGCAGAGCTACAATGCGGCATGGCGATCACCAGAGACAATATCGCGAACATGTTAGTATCCAGCGAAAAGGTATACGGGGAGGTGACAGGAATGCTGAGGAGAATAATGAAGGAAATAGAGCAGGAGGAAAGGAGAAGAGAGGAAGCAATGCAGTAAAGCAGCCAAGCAAGAAATGAACCCCCGAAGAAATGCCTAACGGTGAATTCCGGGAAGAGTTGGGGAAGGGTTTTAGTGGGTGCGAGTCCCACACTGCCTAGGGCGCCAGAACACCAAGGCCCTAGGCGTGCATAACGCATTTCCAATCCCTACTAAAAAAAAAAAAAAAAAAAAAGGGTTAGTTTGGGTTAGTTTGGGTTAGTTTGGGCTAGTTTGGGTTAGTTTGGGTTCCCCCCCGGGGAGCTGTGAGACCTTGTCGTTGGTGTGGGGGGCACAGCGACTGACCGTGCATTTGACTGGTCAGCCGCTGCTAAGGACAGCTCAACCTCAGGGACCCGCACTGCGGACACGGGCGTGGCAAACCCGAGGCACCCTAGCTGGGCTCTCACCCCACACCTGGGGCGATCCCATTCCAAACTACCTCAACCCTAATCCCACCCTCTCCCCACCACACTTCCCCCCCCCCCCGACGCTATTAGGTTATCCGAGGGCTAGGGGCATCCTTTTCCTCCACCCCAAATCCTCAAGGACTACAAAAAACATGATGGCAAGCAAAGAAAATGACTTTACGGTGCAGGGGGGGATACCCCAGTACCGGTCGGTGAGTTGGGTGATAGCGCAGGCCCACCCCGACCGTCATCCGACTACTGTGCAGCGCCTCCGGTAGGGAACCAGGCCGGGACGCAGGCAAATGCGACTGGAACGAACATGGAGGTGGAGTTTTTCGTCCCCCTCAACAAAAGGAACACCCTAGTAAGATCTCCTCCACTGTCACCTATATTTCACAGACGGGGTTCCTTAGGCGAGAATCCTTTTTCGACCCCTGCGAAGAGGAAACTAGGTGACATGTCCATCACGTCGGAAAGCGCAGACGACACCCACAAGAAAAAACTAGGAAACACGACCACCAGGACGGAAAGCGCAGAAGACAAGAGGAAAGAGAACCCAGAATATGTACTCCTCACTGAAGCAATCTCCAGGATAGACGCACTGAGCCTGGAACTAGAGAACAACATCGAACAGAACACAAAACGACGCATCAAAGAATTGGCGGTAGCTTTGAAGAAACAAATGAAAATACTGAAGAAGACCCAAATCACCTCTTGGCTGAATGAACACAGATACGTAAACCCCTAAAAAGTAGCTTTTGAAAAATGTAAGCAATCGACCCCAAAAAACGCGGAGGCTGTCGAAGAACCCCCCACTTGCCCCGAAGGTGCAATGGCAACAACGGAGGAACTAGCACCGTGCACTTAATGCAATATAACGAGTGAGACCAGAGAATTTGGAACCCAAACCGACTTTGGGGAGATTCCGAAATTAATTGAGCTAGAAGAAATAAAAACTAAAAAAGAAATATTCACAATCTTGGAATCCGGAGGTGGATTTCAAGAGCTAGCCCCAAAACTGGATTCTCCATGGCCGGAAGATATATACAAAATCACGGCAATAGAGGCAGGTAACCCCATAAACGCGCACACGGATTATGATATTGTCATAATGGCAAACCCAGAAGAAGGATGTGACACCGGACTGCTTAAACAGGTGAAACACAGGTTCCCTGAGCTAGCAGAACTAATGCTCGAGGACAGCAAAGACATAGAGTACATAGTCAATACATCCAGACGGTCTAGGCAGACAGCCACCTTGGAAAGATTCCTCTACGCCATCCCACAGAAAGAAATAGTCCCCGAAATCATCTTCAAGAAGACGCAGAGGCTAATGGAACTGACAACACGAGCAAAGAGGAAGAAACTCCTAATAGCAACTGACGGAGGAATAAATACAGCATATCTAAGAAAGATGATAGAATTCTTATACAGAAAGGAAGAGGTAGAATGGAGGATACTCACACCTAAGGAAGTCCGAAAGAATACACTGGAAAGACAAACATCAAATCGACCGCGCAGCCAATATGACACTGTAATTATAAACTCACAGGGGAAATCATACGTCGATACACTCAAGGAAATAAAAAAGACAGTAGAGATAGGAAAACTGGGGATCACGGTATCTTCACTGAAAAAATTAGGGGACAGCTCAGTATGCCTTAAAATTGCAAGGAGGGAAGAGGAAAAGAATGACGCTAATCGACTAATGAACGCAGTCCAGAGTGCAATGAAAGACACAAGCGTGAAAGTCAAAACTAACGAAGATGTATACTATATCATGGGACTCGATGGAGCGAGTTCCGGAGAAGAGGTGATACAGGCAGTGCTAGGGGAGACTGGAATAGAAAGGCAGCATATAACTCTGAAAGCATTAAAAATGGACAAAAATGACAACCAGATCGCCACCATAGGCATAAGGATGGAATCCAAACATAACATCCCGAGCATGGGGAAAATAAAGATTGGATGGACTACATGCACAATAAAGCAGAGAGTGTACTTAGCGAGATGCCATAAATGCCTGGAATTTGGACACAAGACCACGGATTGCAAGGGGGTCAACAGAGCTAGACAATGCCTGAACTGCGGCGCAAATGATCACCAGGCGAAGGAGTGTAAAGGGGAACCAACATGCTTTGCCTGCAGTGCCAAGCGGCACAGAACGGACAACACGGGGTGCCCCACGTACAGGAAACTACTAGAATCCCACAGAAGGGAACTTACGAAAAGAGGAACAAGTTAATGGATATATTGCAAGCAAACGCAAAGAGATGCTCAAGGACGAACACGACCCCAGCGACGACAAAAATATTACAGCTGAATATGAACAGGAGCAAAGCAGCACATGACATGTTAGCCGCAACAGCAGAGCAGCTGGACGCTGACATATTGATAATATCAGAACCAAATCAAAAGACAGTCAAACACCCATCATGGTACGTGGACACGAGAACGGACGCCACAATAAACCTGAGGAACTGCAACATCCCCTGCCTAAGATCAGGATCCGGCGACGGATTCTCGTGGACTGAGCTCCAACAAATCACAATCGTTAGCTGTTACCTCTCCCCAAACGTCAGCCTAGACAGCTTCAACACAATCTTGAACCACCTGGGAGCCTTTCTGGACTCAACAAAGAAGGATGTTATTATTGCTGGAGATTTCAATGCCTGGGCAACCGAATGGGGGATGAGAAAAAACGATGCGAAAGGAAACAGCCTCCTGGAGTGGATGGCAACAAAAAACCTTGTGCTCCAAAACAACGGCAACGAACCCACCTTCGCGAGGGAAGAGGCCAGCTCGATTGTAGATCTGACAATGACAAGGGGAGATGTCAGCGCCAGGCTCAAGGGCTGGAGGGTGCTTGAGCTGGAATCATTGCGCGATCACAGGTACATTTACTACGAGATAGAAGACAAGAACAGGACAACGCAAGACAAAAACAACGAGACTAGAAGGAAGTGGAACTATAAAAAAATAAATTTAGAGCGGCTACAGGAAGCGATCACCTCAGCAGAGCGGAAACCCCCACCAGAGACGGCTGACCAATTAAACCAAATGATGACGACAATATGTAACTCTTCAATGCCTAAGACAAAGACCAATCCCTACAACAAGAAACCTGTCTACTGGTGGACGGAAGACATCGCAAAATTGAGGAAAACCTGCCTTGCGCTGAAGCGAAAAATGACAAGAAACAACCGCAGTGCCTCCACAAGAACGCCCACAGACAAAGAAAACTTCGCGAACTACAAAAGGCAACTAAAACTGGCTATAAACAACTCGAAAAAAGAATGCTGGAAGAAATTGTGCGACGAGATAAACGAGGACTGCTGGGGTGCCGGATACAAGATTGCGACAAAGAGGCTGAAAATAGGAGGCGGAAACAGAGCGCTAACAATGTCAAAAGCCTTAGAAGTGGCCGATAGTCTCTTTCCAACCAAACCTCTCTATAACTGGGAACAAACGATTCAAAACAAAGCAGAAATACCAGAATTGACTAATGAGGAAGTGATGACGGCAAGCCGAAAGCTAAAAGCAAACAAAGCCCCAGGAATGGATGGCATCCCAGCAGAGATCCTGAAACTGATAATAGAGGAAAAACCACAACTAATCAGGAAGCCCCTCAACAACATGATAGAAAAGGGGCAATTTCCTCGCACATGGAAAACTGCAAACTTGGTCCTGATAGAGAAGCCTAAGAAAACTCCAAATGACACACCAAAATATAGACCCCTATGTCTCCTAAACACAAGTGGGAAACTTTTCGAACACATCATTCTGGCAAGACTGAGCGATAACTTGATTCTAGCGACCACACTCAGCGATAGGCAGTTTGGCTACAGGAAGGGAAAATCCACGACATCGGCAATACAGGGAGTCTTAAACACAATCAAGCCCCACTTATACAAAAAAAGCCACAGACACAGACGCATCGGCGCAGTTGTCACACTCGACATCAAAAACGCCTTCAACTCGGCTTCCTGGCAGGTGATTGTGAGCGAGCTGAAGCAGAGAGGGGCAGCGGCATATATAGTTAACTTAATACAGGACTACTTTACTGATAGAACCATAGTAGTGGAAGCGGAAGGAAGAAAGGAGAGCTTCAACATGACCTGCGGGGTCCCTCAAGGCTCCGTACTTGGCCCCACTCTTTGGAACATATTATATGACGGCCTGCTGAAACTAGACCAACCGGAAGGAGTTTCCCTGATCGGATATGCTGACGATGTGGCCATGACTGTCCTGGCCAAAGACATAGACGAGCTGGAGAAGAAGATAGAGAGGTCAATGCTTGGAATCAGGAGCTGGCTGCAAGCAAATGACCTGGAGCTAGCAGAAGAGAAAACCGAAGTGATAATCTTAACTTCGAAAAGAACCGTCCCCCACAGAAACCTGAACATCCTAGGTAGGACGATAACACCTAAGCCTGAAATCAAATACTTAGGAGTCTGGCTCGACAGCAAACTCACCCCCACCTAAAAAATACAGCAACAAAAGCCAGCAACACTGTAGCGACTCTGTCAAGACTTATGCCAAACGTTGGAGGACCCGCCCCTAGCAAAAGGCGGCTGCTCTGCTCGGTGGCAAGATCAATACTCTTGTACGCGGCCCCCGCTTGGGGACATATCATGCACCTGGAGAAGTATCGAAACATATACTCGAGAGTACAGAGACAGGCTGCACTACGAATCTGCAGTGCATACCGAACTTCTTCAACAGACGTCATTCTCGTAATAGCGGAAACTCCCCCAATAGATCTCCTGATAAGGCAAACCATGCACATAGCACGAGCATCTCCCTCAGACAAAAATACTGCACGAGCTGAGGCTGCGGAGGCCTTAGAAACAGATTGGCAAGCGAGATGGCAAGAATCAGAAAAAGGGTGATGGACCCATAGGCTGATCCCCAACATTTCGAAATGGATTAACAGGAAGCATGGCGAAATAGACTTTCATCTGACTCAATTGCTGACAGGACACGGCTGCTTCCGAGAGTATACCTACAATATAAACAAGACTGAGGACAAGGAATGCGTATACTGCGGAGAAGTGGACACTGCCGAACACACCTTTTTCCACTGCCAACGGTGGCTCAAAACCCGACAAACATGTACTGACAGCATTGGACCAACCACACCGGAAGACATAGTGGACAAAATGATAAACAGCGCTGAGAACTGGGACATAATCAAGGAAATGGTATGTAAAATTTTAAAGGAAAAAATAGAAGACGAGAACACACAAACACCAGAATACCGAAACGAATAAATCGCCTGCAAAACACACAAGGATAATTCCGCGACCCCCCTGAAGTAATACGAAAGTGGTCCCGGGGGGGGATATGCGAAGAGTAGGGGAAGGGTTATAGTGGGTGGGAGTCCCACACTCCCCAGGGCGCCCGAACACCAAGGCCCTGGGCGTGCATAATGCATTTCCAATCCCTACTATAAAAAAAAAGGGTTAGTTTGGGTTAGTTTGGGTTCCCCTCCAAGGAGCTGTGAGACCTTGTCGTTGGTGGAGGGGCACAGCGACTGACCGTGCATTTGACTGGTCAGTCGTTGCTAAGGACAGCTCAACCTCAGGGACCCGCACTGCGGACACGGGCATGGCAAACCCGAGGCACCCTAGCTGGGCTCTCACCCTACACCCGGGGCGATCCCTTACCCTTACCCTCATAAAAAAAAAAAAAAAACTAATCCTACCTTCTCCCCACCACACACAACCCCCCCGATGCTATTAGGTTACCCGAGGGCTAGGGGCTTCCCCGTTTTTTCCCCAAATTCTCCCCAAAATGGAACAAAATATTATGATGGAAGGCAAAGAAATGGAAATCGAGTTTACGGTGCAGGGGGGGGATACCCCAGTACCGGTCGGGAAAACTGGTAGAGGTGCAGGCCAGACCCGACCGTCAACCGACGACTGGACAGCGCCCCCGGTAGGGAACCAGGCCGGGGCGCAAGTGCCAACGACTGGAACTAAGGGGGAAGGGTGGTCTATCCTCATGGGGAGAAGGAACTCCCTAGCGAGATCGCCACCCCGAAGAAGGAACTCGGTTGCAGATGAAGGCGGCCCCAAGGACTCTGATGGGGGGGAAAAAAAGATCCAAAATAAAGAGAGCCAAAAGAACACTTTAACGGATGAAAGTGTTTTTGTTGTAGAAAAACGGAAAGACGAAGCACCCCCGCGAGAACGAGCAATCTCGGTACCAAGTCTGGTAAGAAACCAGATCATAGATCTAGATGAAGAAGAAGATAGCCAAATAGGAAAAAGAAAGCGAAACGAACGCATAGACGAGATAGAGCATAAAACAAAAGAAAGTCCGGAATACTTATTACTAAAAAAGGTAATGGCGGAAATCACAAAACTTAACACTGCATTAAAGAAAAACGTGGAAAAAAATACAAAAAAGGAAATTAAAGCCATTGCGCAAGGACTCGATACACAAATCGCAGTACTAAACGGAACTCGCATAAAGGCATTAATGGAAGAACTCAGAGTCGGGAAGACGGAAAACATACCCATGGACTCCGATATTCAAACACGTCCTGATAAGGTGCAAATAAGTTACGTTAACACGCCCTGTACCAGGTGCGAAAACCTTCGAAAGTCAGAGGAGGAGGCTACAGATACTAAAAATACTAGTCCACACCTGGAAAAGAAAAAAGAAAAGACAACTTGCGAACAAAGTACACAGACAGGAGATTTCACACTACAAGGCACGGATACATACCAGAAATGGATACTAGCGGAAAAAGAAAGTTGGCCTCAACACACATTCCAAAATACGGAAGTTATTATAGGAAATCCATTGAACACAGACCTGGAGACGTCAAAGATAAAATCACTAAAATGGAGAACAAAGACAAGACCTGGGACTCAGAAACACCAAAGAAGGGAAACTAATAATCATGATGGAAAAGGACGAAGCATCGGCAAAAATGCTATGTTCACGAAAATTTGCGTTAGGTTTTCGAAAGTTTAAAGAGCAGCGGGACTGTAGCGCTAAATTCAATTTTGCCGCACAAATATTAATGGACATAAACCCGAGTAAAGGTGCTAGGAGAGAGCGAGCGCAAAATCACCCATTTTCCCATGTAAATCTCCATAAGAAAATCTAAGGTCCATTCTGCCAGTTTTCGGACCGTTTTGGAGTGGGGGTAAAATTTCCTAGAATTAGGCCCCGCCCCCTTTCCAGCGCCCAGGTCTGCATTGACCGTTCGCACTACCTCAGTAGCCGCCG